GGGCTGGGTTTCGCTGTGTCTCGCTGTCTCGCAGACGGCCACTGGGCTCACAGGGAGGGGGGGGCAGGAGCTCCAACAAGCCGTTTAGGACAGAGAGTGAATACACATACTATACAGAGATGCTGTATGAGAAACCAATGTGAGTTTGGAAAATTGTACAATATAAATCTATTGGCTAGTATACCTCAAAAATGAATTATGATCAGTAGAAATGGCCATGACATGGGACCTTTAAACAAATAAAATGAATTATCGAGAGGAAGAAAGGAAATCAAACTGCGATGGCAAAAACAAAGAAACTACAGGGCGCTTTGAACACTTTAAATACGAGGGTGGAAAGAGAAGAGACATAATAAACAACTGAGAAGAACACATTTGTCTTTTCATCCTTCAAAATGTTTCCATAATACATCAATCATTGTACAGGTGAGACTACTCCATGCTGATGTGGGAGGAAGTAGATCCAAATGTCAAGAAAACTCCACAAATATTCAGAAAGTTTCCTGACTGTGCCTTCATATGTCACGCAACTGAAATGGGTCAAAACATGTAACTTAAATCCAACCTGCAATGGATTTACATTCACAAGTGTTTCGCTCGACCTCTCCTTGTTTTATGGTTCCACTATAAGGGCATGGAGCTACACTCTGCCCCAGGCATTACAAATCAAACACTGAGAGTTAGCACACAATGGGCTGAGTAGGTGTGCCAAGTAGACGAAGAGACTTTCACAGCATAAAGCTGCCAAATGTCCCGGACCCCACCACATATCAAACATAAACTAAAAGTAACTGTCTTTGGCCAAGATCTAAACCGGTACAGAACTAACGCAAAAAAGAAAAATGTTGTTTTTGTAAACACTCTGAAACAGATAGCACACCAAAGAGATCGAAAGCCATGTTTTTGTCAGATAAAAATCACATAATTAATGATGGCCAGAAACTAAAACGAAAATTATTGAACGTTTTCTCCCTTCAACGAACAATGTTTGAAGAAGGAAACATTACCAAAATAATCTCTACGGATGCATCAAGTCCAGCAGGTTAAAATGTTTTCTATTCTCTGCTCCTGCTTCCTTTGCCGCTCACACTTGCTGTATAATAACACCTTAAAGGGTCTCAGCTTAAATGAGGCGTTTTGCTTGGGGACTCATCTGCAGAGGAGTACACATATCAACTTTTGATCTCAAGGCTTCATTGGTCTCTCACAAAATAGCTAAGACTTTAGTAACATGTCTTTGCTCTTTGTGATACAAAATAATAATGTTTAAACCCAGAGCAGTTTCATTGGCAATGGTATGATGTTATATATTGCTATTTGCTACTCTAGCATGCATTCATCTATGTCTAAAACGCATCAATGGACCAAAGACTATTTTCCAAACATATAAAGAAATAGAAAAAAAATCTATCTTTTTTTCTGTCTGAAGGCGGATCAAAAGTGTTACTGGACATATACAGTATATATATTTATTAAGAATGATAAGTATAGTCGACCATGCCTATAATGTATGACAGTACCACTAATGTATCCCTCTCTGATGTGCGTCAGCATCATGGTCAGCATGTACTAATGTCATCACATTAGTCATGAATGTCCCTCTGACAATTTCACTCCAAATTCCTCCACATATAATGGTCTTGTAGATTGATTCTGCTTGTGACACTGACCACTGTATACTTCACATCATCACGTGGAAATGTTGACAGGGTGGATTTAGGATGGTTATCATACAAATGTCTTGAGTTAAAATGCAACAATGCAAGACGGCAGTGCTCACTGCAGCCGTCCACTCTCTACAAAGACATTTCACAAAAGCTACAGCCGGAGACATGCTGCCTCCTTCACTGTGAGCTGCCGCAGGAGGAGCTCGACAGGGTTATTGTTAAAAGCAAATTGAAGTGCTTTCTCATGCTAGAACTGAATCGAGACAACATGAATGGTGGTTTAGCAGAAAACACTTAGAAATCCACTTTGGAAGAAATACAGATTTCTTGTAGAAAGACATGTATGAACATACAAATATATAAGCGACAGAAAGAAAAAAAACGTAGAGATAGTCAAAAATAAAAAACTGATGGGTTTATCCAGAAAGACGTTGACAGGGAGGATAGACATGCACAGAGGAATCAGAGGAATACATTCCTAGAAAGTCAGTAAGGCATTCCTAACAGTAAAAACCAGCTATAGCTATTAGCTAACACTGAAACTATGTAGACATAAGGACAAGGAGCTTTATGTGAGAATGCAATTGTTAGAATCATTTGGACTGGACATTAAAAAGACTTTACCCTGCCAGCTACAAAACAGCATACAGCGTGTTTATTAGAACATGTGACTGTCCTAAAATTGCAATTTGAAAATATCCAAAGAATAACAAGAAGGGTCATTTACACAAAATGTTACACAAAAACATTAAACTGTCGAGACAACGAAAATTGGTAATATCTGCTGTAAGGTGCCCACGCCAAAACATCAGACAAATTCAAGGAATGGCAAGAGACTTGGTGGTTTATGAGCAAATCACAAAATATTGGTGTATCCATGTTGTACTCAGCTTAATGTCCTGCCTCTGTGTCCATCTATGTCAAATCTCACTAAAGTAAGAAGGCGACAAAACAAAGGCAGGTGTCTGACCCTCATGACCTCTAAAGAACACAGCAAGAAAACAGGCAGGCATCTCACAAATGGAAACGAACAATAAAGGGTAAGGACACAAATCTGGAGCCTTCCCAAGGTTCAACAGACTCCAGAAATAAAGGGACCCAACTCATCCAGAAGGCAGAGGGAGGGGATGAGGGGGAAGAGGGGATTAGTAGACAGGCTATCCTTCCTCCCCTACCCTCCTGCCCAGCACATGCAGGTCAGGTCGGAAAACTGGAGTTATTTTGGAGCAGAGAGGAGCTAAGCAGGCCCTCACAGAAGGATTTATCCTGGAAGAGGCTCTAGTCCTAACGTCCCCTGGCAGAAGGCTTGGGGAGGGGGTTAGACCTGAGATAACCGTAACCCTTAGACTGCAACCAATATGCTACATATAACATACATGTAACCTCAATGCACAATACCTTTTTTTTTATTTCCACGTATCCCCCATAATAGCCCCAAGATATGTTAATTACAATAATAAAAAAGGTTATAGGTTACAGCTTTCTGACGATTAAGTTATTGATTGATCAAATGTAAAATACACACATTCAACTGAAAATATCAATGTTCGTGAGTTAAATGTCTTGATTTGTCATTCCAAAACCCAAAGATATTCACTATAATAAGAAATAGAACAGAGAGAAGTACATATTCGAGAAGCTGAAAACAGCATTATGTGCAACATTTGCATGCAAAAGTTGATTACATAGATTATTAGATAGCATTTATCAAATTATTCCCAATAATTGTTTGGGTCGATCAACCAATCATTTTGTCAACTAATCGTTGCAGCTCCTCTGGATATTTGATAAGGTATGAGCATATTTCAATCTCAGTGTAGGCCTCTCCTCCTCACAGAAAGTAGACCCTACAGCTTTATTCAGTTCCTTGTGTTCATACCCATTGCTGTGTCCAGCAGGAAGAAGATAAATATCTGAACATTAAACCAATTCATAACTTTAAAACGCTGCCACCAGAACACTCATTTTCTTCTTGCAGTGACAAAGTTGAAAACTAGGTTTTCAAACAACATATGGCAACTTTGGACAGCTGAAAAACTGTTTCCTGTAAGACGTTGCCATGGAAACCTGCACTGTGTACAGTATACTTCAACTTGCTGTAAGCACATCTGTGCAAAGAGTCCATCCTTCAGCTGGATGATGTCTACTCGAGGGCCCTTATGCAAGGCACTGAATTTTAATCAGCACCTGTGCTGCTGCTCCATCCCTGACGTCTGACCTGCCTGCGGAGGGTCTCTCATTGACAGTAGCAGTGGATCATGAAACAACACCTTCAGCTATGTGGACTTTATGACGCAGTGCTATTAAAATTCCTGTAGTTATCACACAGTGAAAGAAAAGAGACTGTATTCACAATCTTTACATGAACCAGGAGCAGCAAGGTGTCAGGTGGTGTGTGATAAATGAATACAACTAGAAATAGTTACACAGGTTTCACAATCCCCTATGCAATACATTCTGACAGAAAATATGTGTCATCCTGTTCACATGCTTATAAGCATTCCCCTAATGTTTCTGCCCATTCAAGTTGACCACTCTAGGCATATATTATTTTTCAACTGGGAATAACGGACAGACAGATACAACTAAACCTCTGTTTAACATTGTTTTTGTTTCTCATATGCTGCCCAACCAGCACACGTCACAATGGTCCATTCAAATGAGAGGACACTGTTTCAATGCTTGGCACGCGCCACCGATTGTTCCTCACAGTGTGCGTGTGCTTGGTCATTCCGCATCACCCACACACACACACGACACTCAGATATATGTAAACACACGCGCACGGTCACCACTTACTCACGCACAGACAGACGTTCAAGGCGCGCGCGCGCGCACGTGCAGCCCCAGAACAATGTGCGGCTGTCAGGAGCACGCTGGCCTCCTGCACTCCGCATTACAGCAGAAACACGGCCATGAATGATAATGATAATCATACTGTCGCAGGACGGAGCGGCCTGCTGTAGCCGCACAATGATCCACACACGGGGAGCAGCGTCGGGGCTTTAACGAGCAGCAGGCGGTGAGGCACGGAGCCGGTGCAGGGGAAGCAATGACAACAACACAATATAACTTAGTGAGGAGCTCCAGCCGGCAACTTAACCACATTCAAAGCGTGTCACGGTGGCGAAAACCTGTGCAATATCACTTATATTTAGCTCGGTTCGATAATTGACAGCCTGTCAGAGGGTCCAGCGGCACCAGCGGCAGCACGGTGTCTCCTCCACTGCGGGCACTCAGCACCAGCATGCAGGGCACAGAGTGGAGCAGCACTCGCGGTATACACAGACATAATAAAATAAAATAAAACACAATCAGAAAATGCCTTCTTACCTTCACTTGTGCAAGATTTCAAACATTAAAGTCGACCACCAGCACCCGCGTTTTTTCCACAATCTTGTGTTTTCTTGCTGTCGCTGTTTGGTTTAATTGTTTATTCATTCGCACTCCGGTTTTTCTTTAGTGTTTATTTGAAACGGACATTATAACCTGCTGTATGTGTGAAGGGAGGGAGTGAGAGCACACAACAGGACCCTCAAGACTCTCTGTGGCAACCCAAGGGGGGCGGGGCCACGGCTGCTGACATCACAGAGGGAGAGGGAGAGAGATAGAGAGGGAGAAAGATGGACCGTACTGCACACCCAGATGTCAGTTTCCATTAGAAAGTAGAGAAATAAATGTATTTCTGAAAATATAACCAAGAACAATAATGCTTTTAAAGGAAAAACGATGAAATCCTTAATTAGAAGACCACACAGTTTTCTCAAAAATGGCTTCCACACATATGTGTTCCCCAAAGACACATATTTTTTTCTTATTAAAGCATAAGGTAGACCTGTTCAATAGATGTTAATATTTGAAAAGTATACACAGAAGAGAAAGAGAGAGGAACAATGAGGCCACTCTATTAGACTTAATGCAGTTTATAAATCCTACATTTTATCATTATTAAAAAAGCATAATTACATGTTGGAATACAACACTTGCTGTGGGTATACTTATTACATTGGAGTTTTAAGTTAAATGACTCTTTCATGTGGTTATTTATATTTAAATAATTTTTATTTGGAGCTGCACTGATAAGTCGACTCATGGATTAGTTGATCAGCAGAAAGATATCTGCCAACTCTGGGAATTATCGGATCAAGTGTTTTTTTTAGCCCACACCATTATTCGGGGAAAAAAGTAGGTAGAATAATTGATAATGAAAATACTTGTTAGACTATTAAAATTATTTATTTCATTTTTACCTTTCTCTATGTGCTTGCACGTATTTCTGTCCTTGAGCTGCTGCAACACCATTGAGGGATCAATAGAGGCTGATCTGCTCTTACTACACTCTGCAATATCTCTGCTGTTTTGTCCAAACCATATCTATCAATGACGGTATCATAAATAGCTAGACACCTCTATAACACACAATTATCAGAGTTGGATTAAAAAACTTTCTGAAATAGTTTTAACAGAAACTGAATATAAAAATCTTTATGATAGAGGATGTACTGCCGGGATATTGTACTAGACGGCTTTGGTGCTAGCTAGGTGTATCTAAGGACGAATTCTATCTAAAATAATAAAAATGTTTCTTTAGCCCACTATCTTTTATTATCTGTCATCAGAGCAGATTTCATTATCACCACAATACAAATCAGTCCACTGGATGATTTCAATTAAAACAATTGCTAATTATGTATCAGCAGTACTTAGTAATTACAATAATCCCTTTAATTTATAGTTTCCTCTCATACATTTTCAGTGACCCTGCAGAGAATAATCAAACATTATTTTCATAAATATATCTCCCATGGTTGGAGACAAGTCAAAACAGAGCAGAAAATGCCTCATCACAGATGCTGATTAATTCATTCAAATGTATTATTCTTTCAATTCAATACAACAACAAAAAAACATATTTGGACACAATTTGGACCAACTGTCCAAAAGCAGCATCTCATTCACTAGATAAAGAGAAAAAGGAGTTTGGAAAAAATCGTGATAAAAAAAAGTCCTGAGAATATGCTGCCCTATGGTATTTATAAGCTTTAGGTCGGAAGAAAAATACGCTCTGAAGGATGTGGACAAAAATTTGTGGCAATTGCACTAAAGTTTTAATAAAAACTTCACTGACATAAACCAACTCCTTTAAACACACAAGCTGCCATGACTTTAAAATAAATTATTATTTCAGTGCATCTTAGAGAGTTTCATTTCTGTTGCACTTTGACCTTTAAACTAGAACACGTATATAATAAAAGGATTTAAATGCACACCTGCCACTATACATACTGAATGTGCAGGTGTGTGAGTGTGAGTGTGAGTGTGTGTGTGTGTGTGTGTGTGTGTGTGTGTGTGTGTGTGTGTGTGTGTGTGTGTGTGTGTGTGTGCACCCTCTCATACATTTCAATGACAAACCTGCCACCTATAGGCAGAGGGTGACACTGCGCTGTAATTGGCCATGCAGAGTGCAGAGGGAATTGCAGCAGAGTGTGTTCATAATGATGCTTATCGCTTCCTGTAACAGAAAATACATAATATTCTGCATAGCTTGATAGAAGTTAGTTGTTTGTTTATTTGGATCTCTCTTTTAGCAAAAGACAAGGGTTGAATGCATTTAAAGCTTTCTCTAAATAGGCCTTATTTATTGGTGTAATTATGTTTTAATATTTACATACGCTTATGAGGTTATGTTTTTGGTTAGGTTTGTTTGTTCTTCTAATTGTAGTTAATATTGTGAGATAGGACATGGTCTCTCTGTGTACAAGTGTTATTTAACAATTTAAAATATACAAAATTAATTGAAATAATTACTGCAAAATGTAGCTGAAGGTGTTAAAATAGACTTTCCGTATTTTCGAAATGTTATATTCCAACGTTAAAACCAGTTTATAGAGAGAGAAGTCTACGTCTTACGTCAAGGGAGATTTTACAGGTTTTTATTTATGTCTAGATTATGTTACTACTGATTTCTTGGGGAGTTTATGTAATGTAATTCACGATGTAAGGGTCTTCCTTCCATTCTCTGTGTGCAAATTAGGGTTGGTTTCGGTGCAGTTGTACTCTCATCTAACAGCAGTTTCAGGGGAGGATTCGGGTCTTCAGCTAGTACTCAGGAGGGTTCATGGAAAAGGGTCGCATGGAAACAGTGAGTGTCCGAGGCTTTCACTCTACTTACATGTATGTGCTGTGCACTTAAAAACCATCAAGGGGATTTTTCTTTCAGGGCAGTTTCCATTGTGTTTCTCTGTTATTGGTCAGTATACACTGGAGGGTTTGGGGGCAGATGGTGAGAGGATAAGACGTGATAAAGGTCGTGCCCCTGGTGCAAACCCACACTGAGGGCTTCAAGATCGGCGGGCACCTCATGTGTAATCTTTGTATCATCTTAGCTCTGTACAAGATGATTCTAGTGTTTTCATTTTTACAGGATCACACCGTGTCAGATAGAATATTATCTGCAGTGAGCAACTAGTAAGACTATGGACCTAATAAGACAATTGGGCAAGTTACCTAGATCAACTAGAGGTCTAATTTAGCCCCAAAACAAGCTGGTTGGTAAAATATTGAAAGTGACCACTAATAGTAGCTGTGATTTAAATGGAAGTTAATTGTTCTCAAACTTTCTTTGATGTGCATAAAGTAGAGGGAAAATGCACTTGTACAAAGAGAGGATTGCATATCTTGTCAGGTGAATCATGGGGTTGAATTAACCTTTATGCATGGGAGATCAACTTTGGGTTATAAAAAGCTCATCTGGCTCGATGATACAGTTAAAGACTCCCTGATAACTGTCACATGGGTTCACATGTTACTAGAGCAACTATCTGCCAGGTGGATTTGTTAGTGTGTGAGGCCTTGAGATCAGTTGATTATTTCCCATTTTTCTCCATTTGTAAAGAACGCCCTTAACATCCTGATACTGCACTTAATTTAAGAAAAGACTCATTTATTTCACGATTGATGAAGTTCAGATTCTTAGCACGGAAGACTGCGTTCATTTAAGAACGAGGCTAAATCACTGTTTTGTTTCACTTATTAATAATATATCACTTATTACCTTACTACTCGAATGATTCTCCTGAAGATCAGCTTTTTATTTTCAGCCTGGACAAAAGGTCACTACTTCATCCTTTCATATCCAAATGTATGATTTTTCCTTCTTTCTTCTCAAAAGTATTTTAGTAATTATAATAGACCAACCCCCAATCTCCCCTTTGCGCACACTCACACTCACACACCCCTCCTCCCAAAAATAATGAAATGTCTTTCCTCCTGAGATAGCTTCTGAAATAATGGGCAGCGAGAGGGAGAGGGGGAGACCATAAACGATAATGAACCACCTCATTCTGCTTTTTTAATTCCCTCTGATTCCTGCCCCGACCCCCTCCTCCACCAATGGGCACTGAAGGAAGTATAAGGCATACATGACGTACAGTGTATCAACAATCTGTGAAAATAGGTTCGCTGAATGTATGCTCTCGACTGTTGTAAAAATTTAAATTAAAGAACGTTTCCTTGTTTTACCGTCCGTGTCAAAGTTTGTATATTTGTTAGTATCACTCTTTCTATACTATTCATCTTTTTTGTGTTTTTTTGAAGTGGTTTGAATTTTCAGAGGATAATAATGATAAAAAATCCGTATAATATAATATCCAGAAGTCTTATATATGTTTATATAATTTTTGGACAGATACTTCACAGAGAAAGGAGACACCCAAATGGTGTTCCACTCATGCAAAATGTGGACGAGAATGTGTATGAGAGAGGTCATGTCAATCGAGACTCACAATCGCTACGAACGATTACATTTTGTTTCTGGTATAACGCAGGTTCTTTGTGCATCCCTTCGCCACTTTTTCGCACCTTCCTTCACTGTCGCCTACTTCTCC